AAGTTATATAGTATCAAATCATATAAATGTGACAAATAGACTATTTCTTAATGTTAGTTTTATTCTAAGAAAAATAGCCTCTTAGAAAATCTGATAGCAATTTTGGCATTTGTTCACTTTTTTCCCAAGTGGAATTGCAAAGAACATTTTAACTAAATGTACTTTCTCAATCATCTGATACTGGCTTTGGAACCTTGAGGAAGCTTCTAAGCCTCTCTGTGCCTTAGGTTTTGCTTCTCTAAAGATAATAACCACATCTCATAGGGTTAATGTAAAGATTAGCTGTGTTTCTACACATAAGACAGTACCTGGTAAGCATTCAGTGCATGTTGATTATTATTATTGATGCAATCACAATTATTATTGTTTTTCATGCTGAGACATAGAGATTTGCCCATGATAATTACTATCCAGAGTACTACTGTTGTTTTGGCATCAAGTTTTCTGATTTATAATCCAATGGTTTTTTTGTGTAGTTCAAAAAGACAGGGGGGAGGGGGGCGGGTATATACATACATAGTGAGTGAGATGTGCACCATCTGGGGGATGGTCATGATGGAGACTCAGACTTTTGGGGGGAGGGGGGGAAATGGGCATTTATTGAAACCTTAAAATCTGTACCCCCATAATATGCCAAAATAAAAAAAATAATTAAAAAAAAAAAGACATGTATATCAAGTTTCCAGTAATGATTTGCTGTGTTTACTGAGGTTGTCCAGTAGGACTGCTAGAGCTAGCCATAAACGCATAATTATTTTTACAAAGTTGAATTCCTTTTCTTCTAACTAGAAAAAAAAAAAAAAAGATGAGTCCACAGTTGTTCTTCTTAGGGATTGGGCCTGAGAAGATTAAGAGAAAGATTAGGAAACAAGGGGAAGATAAGCCTGTACCCCAGAGATTAACAGAATTTTTGCTGTTGTCTCTATACATAAAAATTTTAGCTGGACATTTAACCTCTGCTTCACTTAGATCACAAGCAAATTGATTTCTGTGTGATGGGCAAGCAGTCTAGCATAAAATTTAACAATAGATGCAGTTCAAAATTCTAGGTTATTTCTTACTCTTTGTGCCTGTACAGAGACAACATCAACTAACTGGGAGCAGTACTTCCCACTCAGTGGCTCTAGACAGGGCTGCCATACATGACCAAGTTGCCCGTTGCATGGGTACATGGGTCTGAAGGTGAATGGGGGTTGAGGTCAGCCCACCCTCTTGTGGGAAGGGATACCTTTTCTAATGCACACAGAAGAGCCGGCTGCTCTCAGCAACCTTGTCCTAGACCTTTGGGGAGTGTCCATGGCTTGAATCCAGGTATTACCCATTTCTCCTCTTTCTCCAACTGTAACTAGGGACATTCAGATGTAAGTTTTTGATAGATGCTCATCAAAAATTTTATATGATGCTGTTTTAATGGGATTTGTTAAAAAATCATGACATGTTTTTGTTGAAGAAAAAATTATGGAAATAGAAGATATTTCCATTTCTCTCTACCTAGCCACTATGTCCTTTTAAATTTTTTTTAAATCAACATTTCCCTAAAATCTGTATTCTTATTCTCTGGGAAGTATTAAATATATTGAATTACCTGATTTACATTATGTTACGTATTTGTGTGAACTTGGTCATAAGTAATAAAACCATACTTTGGAAAGATTTATAAAGTTGATATTTGGGGTTTGTTTTTTATTTACTTTTAACTAAATGCAAATATACCTTCCTTTAGAGAATAATTAAGCCTGTTTTCCTCCTCCTTGTCCCACCTCTAGTCCTTATGTTTAAATTTTGCAGATCTGTACATAAGATCCTAAAATAATCTGTAGTCTACCTTCATTTGGTTCTGAGTCCATACCAGTGAAATTCAAGCGCTCAAATGCCATGTGGTGATCCTGTGCTTTCCCAGGGCAGGGTGCTCAAACTGCTGCTTCGAGATCTCTATTAGGAATTGCCCTTCATTTTTCTATGTGTAGCCTTTTGCTTTCTTGCTCCGCCCTCCTTCCCAGCACTGACTTGTTTCTGACCTCTCTTCTCTCCAGTTACCTCCTGCTCGGTCTTGCTGCTGCCTCTCCATACCTCATGGATTGGCTCTTTCAATCACTGTCTGTCTAGCCAGTCATGGTAAATTGTGCAGCTGTTGTGTAGCTGATAGGTGGGACGAAGTAAAGCCAAAATGTTTTGGGGGACTCTTCCTGGTGTTGCTTTCCCAGGATTTGTTGGAAAAGAACAATCATTTTTCTCCATCTCTGCCCTGGAAAATGAAATTGACAGCTAATGAGAAGTATCACAAAGGTAGATAAACAAAGCCCAGTAAAGCGTCCCAAATGGCTGATTCTCTTTCATGCCTGTTAAACCGTTCCTCCACCCACTGCAAATTTGCTCCCCTATCTTGCTGCCTCACAAACATTGTGAGTGTCATGGGAACAACTACTGTGATACACTGGCACAACACTGGCCCTGCCTGGTCCCTAACCCAGCAGGACTTTTCCTTCCTGCATTCCTTTGAAAAGTAGGATGGAGGTTTTCTACATTAAGTAGCCACATGGATTCTCTCCCTTTGTTTGCACATTACTGGGCTCCAGCCTGGCAGCTTCTGTAGTTGGAGGGTAAAGAATTCGGGCCTGGTTGTTTAACCAACCATTCAAGAAGAGAAACGTGTTTGTTGTCCATTCTCCTCAGTGCCATTGTACATTTTCTTGTTTTTTAACTTTTTCTTCTTCATAGTGATGTATTTATATTTAGAGACAGTGAAATATCTCCATCTTTCTAATCAGTAGTGTTTATGTATATGCTGTACATTTAAATTAAGCAAATCTAATATCTGGCACAGTTAATTCTGAAATGTATGATATTAAACACTGTTTCTCTTCTAATAAAGGATACCATCACATTATACTTGGCTTCTTAGGTTACGTCCTGGAGTGACTTACTTTGGTTTAAGGAGAACTGCCAGGTTCTGAATGTGTCATGTAGGTCTTAGGCTGAGTGTAATTCCCCCCAACGCATGGTGGAAGCTGAGTCAGCACAAATCAGAGTGCACCGCTGTGGCCAGAAGATTTGGTGGATGTTAATTTTACTTCTCTTGCCTCTAGAGCCAACCATTCCGGTTTACTAACAAAGCAAAAATGTAAATAAGCTGAAATTTTTTAAATGTTTATTTTGTTGTCCAAGGCTTTTGTCAGCTTTTTCCTCCATGTGCTGTAAGGAGCAGCAGTGTTTAAATATGAAGAAGGGTGAACGTACAGTGGGGCGAGGGTATGGGCCGGCAAGTATAACTGTTCATAGTCCAGTGAACACTTTGTTTATAAAACTTTCATGTTCAGACTGTGATGATAGTTCACCCATCTTGTTAAAGAAGATCTACGAGTGGTAACTGTAAATTCCTGAATAGACTTTCCCCCTACATTTTTTGGCATTTGCCATTTTGTACCAAGTCCAGTTTTAGGTGGAATTAAGTCACTTTCATCTGGCAGAAGGCTACTGATTATAATTAGAACCAAAACTACAAAATTAGATATTCACATCAGCACCATAACATGGCCATTGTTCTCACATGGTACTAAGTGTTTATCATAGAAGTCTAATCAAAGGCAACGTCATCCTAGCCGATATAGACAGAAACAAAATGGAGTTGCATCAAATATGAAAATAAAATTCCTTTTCTTTTTAAGTTTATGTACTTTGTGTTTAGGGCGGCTCACCTCCCACCTGGCCTCTCTGCATATTGGCCGCTGGCTGGATGGAAGTGAGGGATGATCAGGTGGTTTCAAAGATGAGACCTTAAAGGCAGGAGGCCTAGGCTGGGAGGAATGTTTCACTCACCTTCCAACCCTCACTGCTGCCATCCTTCTCTGTGCCTGCCTCCCTCCTCCTCCTCCCTTCCTTCCTCCCCAGCCAGCTGCCCCCGCCCACCACAGTGAGTTCCTCCAGGAGGGAGCTGCCTTGGGGAGCCTCTCCACGGTGTCCAGAACATGGTGCCCCTTGGCTGTCCTGGCAAGCAACTCAGTTACTGTCCTTTGAAAAGGATCACAGAGGTTACAAGCCTGTGGAAGTGGCTTAGCCAGAACTAACCCTTCCACGCACCAGTTACTTCAAGTCTGATTCTCTGAAGCTGTATCATGTCCGTTCCTAGACGGTAAGGGAGGCGTCCAGCATACCAACTGGCCGTGATGAATTTGTGCCCTCAGGAAAACCTCAGATGCTAGAAGCATCAGTTCCAGAAAGGGCGGCACGAGTTAGATTAAATATGGAAAATAACTCTTTGGGCAGGCTGTGGTATATTTAGAGCTCTTCCATGTAAGTGCTCACCCAGCCCTACCCCTTGAGTCAGTGAGACCCAGTAGATTTCTGTATGAGCTGATATAGCTACAGAAACAAACAAGAAGATATTCTGGTCAAAAAACTAATTTTCTTGCTTAATTTGACATTCAGACAATCAGATTCTGGAAGGATGCTATAATGGGAAAGAGAAAAATGACTTGCAGTTAGGAGTTAGTCATAGGCCAGAGTGAACAGGAAGGATTTTAGTGAGAGGAAATGATAGTTCCTGGTCTAATTTGTCAAGATTAGTACCTATAAAATGAGCAATGGAGGATGCAAACCATTGTGTCTCTTGTATTTAATCCATTTTCCCTGGAGTTTTCAGTTTCTTAGGGCTAAAGCCTTAACCCACCTTAAATAAACAAAATTTTCACTATTTAATTTGTCCTTACTTAATAAAACTCTGGGTACAATTATGAGTTATATCTCTATGTGAATTGTTTTAAGCCAGTTTCCTTTCATGATAACATTAGTAGACTCTGTAAAATGGCATTTTGTGTAAGAACAGACATTTTTTATTTGAAAGCCTGCATAGTCACCCTACCTGATAATCTTATTTTAAAACATCTATCAAATGTTCCTTTTTGGCTTCTCTAGAGGTAGAAATCCTACAACAGCTTGTTGCAAGGAAGATGCATGCTGCTTATTGGCAAGCAGCATAGGAAAAAAAAATTTTAAACACAAAATGCCATTGATATATCCATGTTTTTAATCTGTGGCAGCACAGAAAACATCAATTCAGCAGTTCTACAAACCAAAGAGAACTTAAGCCAGTGTTTTTTTCCCTGACAAAGTAAAATATTTGCCTGTTACACAAAACTAATATCTGATCCCTTCCAAATGATGCTTAGCAATAGTTAAGAAAGCAATAATATATTTTGTCTTTTCAAAAGATGGGATTGCAGCTCTGTATGGCTTAGTTATCGGTAGTATGGTACAGAGCCTCCCCCTTTAAGATACTGATTTAAAATTCAGACCAAGATCCTGATGATGGAAACTCAGTACTTGGGTCATGAATGCTCTCAGTGCTGTTTCTGGAGGGCAGGTTCCCCGTTGCTACCCTGTGGCCAGAGTTCTGAGTACTTTTCTCCTTCAGCGGTCACTCCTGACCCAAGCAGGTATTCTGAAAGTTGGGGGACGAGTATTTCTTCTTGTTTGCAAAACATAGATCTCTTCAATTCTTCCATCCCAACAAACTTCAAATTAAGCCTTTTCCCCTCTTTCTCCTGCATTCAGAAATAAAACATTAGACATTTTTCAAAATACACATTCCCACTCAATTTTGCTCGCCCTGTTAATTAAAAATAATGCAGTTCAGTTTAAACTGTCCTGTCAATTTCCACCCCTTTTCTTTATTCTTCTGTATATGAAAATACAGGAAAACCTGTGTCACCAAGGCAATATTGTGTGCCTTTTTCTTGCTCTGTAATCTCAGCAGTGACTAATGTGTTTATGTGGCTGAACCAACTGCCCACGCCCACTTCTCTGTTATTTTTCTGCATTGCTCACTGAAGAAGCACTTCAAACACCTCGTCCATTGTTTGCTTCCATTTATTGAACTGAGCAGACTGTCACTGCTCTAAATTTGTACTCAAATGAGTATTATCACTTCTGGACTCTTCAGTGTGCTGCCTCTGTCGAAATGCTGTTGGCATTGACCTACTATATTTTCTTCCTTCACTGGGAATGAGGATTCAGAGTGGAAGGTGCAAAAGCTTTTATGAACTAATTTTAGCCTAGGAGGAAAATGTTTCAAAAATCATTTGACTACATTTTGGAAAATGGTGGTAAAACAAATGGTGCTTTTAGTCAAGATGTTCCTAACGTTGATTTCACAAACTTCTGATGTATTACTGTGTTTTCTGATTGGGAATAAGTAACAGTTGTGGGAGAAACAGCCATTTTACAGAAAGTGTTATGTTTATTTCCCAATCTTCTGGTAACCCGGGAGCCAGGATTATTATGATGTGTTGATTGATTATAGCCGTTAAGTCTCTTACTAATCAGTTTCATCACTTACTCTCAATTCACACACTTGCACCTTTGATTTCTCTTCCATAACAGGGTGATATGGCTTGTCATTGACTAATGAAGAACAGAATTGGTTTGGGCATGAGACAAACGGAATGCCGACACCAATCCTAAAATGCATTAATCTTTAATAATTCACATCTGCATGTTTATAAATGGTATAACCAGGAATTGTTAATGTTGATATTCTCCCTACGAAACAGAAAGTGACATAAGAGTTTGTACTTGCAAACCACATTAAATGCATATAGCTGAATGCCAAGAGTGTGACCTTGCAGAGGATGCCAAATGTGTTACTTCATTGGATGGTTTTAGAAAAGTAACATGTTGCACTTTTGCTGTGGGGTACATCAGGTGACGTCCTGCGGAAGGCCAGCTAGCCCCATTGCTCATTTTCCTTCCTTTCTTATTTTAACATTCTCATCTTTCATTTCACTCAGCAAAGCACTGAGTGTATATACTGTGCTGTAGGCATGTTTCTAGGAACAGGGGTAAATGCACTGAACAGGAACAGCAAAGGGTCCTGTCCTCACAAAATTTATATTCTTTTTTTTTTTTTTTTAAGCGACAATATCCCGCTCTGTGGCTCTGGCTGGCGTGCAGTGGCACGTGATCATAGCTCACTACAGCCTTGAACTCCTGGACCCAAGCAATTCTCCTGCCTTAGCCTCCTAAGTCACTGGGATCATAGGCACAAGCCACTGTGCCCAGCTCCTGAAACTTAAATTCTAATGGGAAAGATGGGAAATACACAAGTATACACTTTATTGTCAGGTATTATTAGAAAAAAAATCAAGTTACTTCTTTAGATAGCAATGGTTAGGGAAAGTATTTGTTAGAATTTGATATTTGAATAAAAGAAGTAAAGGAAGGAAGGGCAGGAGCAAGCAACGTGAGCACCTGGGGAAGCAGCATCCACGCAGAGAAGGTACGAGGCTGAGTCAGCACTGTACTTGGGGTGTTGGGCACAGAACACACTGGCTGTAGTGGGAGGGGAGATGGGGCAGGATGAGTCAGCACTTAGGTTAGAGAGTAGCTAAGGGCCAGCTTCTATAGAGCTTTGTAGGTTTTGATTAGGATTTAGAAAAAAAATTTTATGTGTGGTGGGAAACCACTGGAAGGTTGAGAATGGCAGGATCCAGTTTAGGGTTTAGAAGGCTCCTTCTGGCTGCTGAGTGGAGAATGCACTGGGGGAGGGTGGGAGCAGAGTGGCGGGGGCTCCCACAGGAGCCAAGCAGAGGTCAGTCCTGGCTGGGTGAGCATGTAACAATAGTAGGGACAGGTGGTTCTATGCAGTAGAGATGAAGGAGCAAGTTTTTGAAGGGGGAATCAAGAGTTTGGTTTTGAACATGTTACATTTGAGATTCCTATTACATTTCCAAAGGGAGATTTTCAATAGGCAGTTGGATATAAGAATTGGGATTCTGCTGATATTTTGGCTGGAAAAATGAGTTTGTGAACCTTAGAGTTCAAGCTGAGATCCCCTAGGCACCTAGCCTGTATCAGAATCACCTGGTGGTCTGTGAAAACACGGAGTACTGGCCCCCACACCAATTTCTGATTCAGTGGGTGTGAGATGGAGCCCAAGAATTTGCATTTCCAACAAATTCCCAGGTGCTGCTAAAGCTGCTAGTCTGGGAACTACTACTGACCTGGAGAATGGGCGAAGGTCAGTAGTTCTCAGCATTAGCTACGGAGAGTGTCTGGTGCTAGGCCCAGCCCCAGAGATGCTGACCTAACCCGTCTGACATGGGGTATTCCATCAGTACTGTTTAAAAGCTCTCCAGGTGATTATCACATACAGCCAAGGTTGAGAAATACTGAGGGATGAATTCTGAGGACTGAACCCTAGGGCACTTGGAAATCTAGAGACTGTGAACAGGAAAAAGAAACAGAAGAAGAAATGTTTCCAAAATATGGAAGAGACCTCCTGTGTCCAGTATAGATTAGCACGTTCCTCAGAGTGTTCCACAGGGCATGAATTGAAAGGAGGCTAGTATTCCCAGTTATGATTGTGTATGTATTACTCAAAGAGTAATTTAGGGATAAGTAGCTCATTTTTTAAGGGCAGCACACTGCCATATCTTTTCTGACCTTTCTAGAACTAGGTTGTGATACAATCGAAAGTAATGCCACAGAAAAATATTCTTCTGACAAAACACTCTTACATTCTCAGGCCTAATTCAGTTGGTAATAGAATCCCTTACATTCACAGTTGTTACTTTATAAATTCATTTCACACAAAATCCAAGAATCATACCATTTGAGTTCTGCTTGAAAATAGGCAAAAATATATCATATTTTTAGAGAACTGAACCTCCATATGTAGTTTTTTTATGTGACATCATTGCTTCGTACCAGAAGTAGACAAGGGAACTGGTTCCGAATTCTACTTCAATACCACTGCCCGTGACTTCGTGTCATATCTTTGCTCCTAGAGTTGAATTAAAGAATAGAGTGTTATTCCTTTTGCCTGGGATATTTGTCCCACCCTTTATCAGCCCAGCAAACTCCTACTTATCCTTCAAGACCCATCCGAAGCCTCTTTCCCTTCACAAAGTCCTGACTGACCCCTCACCCACGGAGCCCTTTGAGGGCAGAGGCATCCTTCTTCAATCGCCAATGCGAAGACAATGCCTGGCAGCAGGGAGTGCCCAGTAAACACTGGCCAAAGTAAAGAACCCATAGTTGTCATGGGGAAAAAAACCAAAAATTCAAGAAAGCTCTAAAATTGGCTACTTATATATAACTTTTTCTCCTGTGGCCCTGGAGCCATCTTTCAGCCTTTGCATTTTCATACTTCATGGGATTCTTCTTTTTCCCTCTCTCCTGAAAGAGCCTCCATTATGACAGATTGTTTTACTTTTTTTACCTTAAAAACAGTACATGAAATAGTGGTTGTAAGACTTGTTAATCTAAACCAAACCTTTTCCTATATGGAACCCTGATCAATTCTGGTCTATCTTATATACAGAAATTGTGCTGTGTAAATATTGCAGCAAAATTCTGGAATTGTCTAATATTCAATTTTTTCATTGCTTAATTATTTTTCAATAAATACCTGTTATTAACAACTAACCTTGTCTCCAAAGAAAATGGCCAAATAAGAACAGATTGGCCTCGGGAGAGAGTTCTGGCAATGCCCAGATATTATTCCCATTGCCGAGCAGCCAGCGTCAGCGCTGGCTAGGTACACGCGGAAGGGTGCAGTACTCGCCAGGGACTGGAAGTTAAGCTTCAGCAACACAGGAATAACGTAAGCTGAACAAGAAAAAAAGTTTCTGTTTGTGGGAAAAGTACATTTCAAAATAGTACTTGCTGAATATTATTTCAGTTAAAATCTGAAATAAAAGAATTACTGAAGAGTACCTGAGGATGTGGCCCAGGATGTACCTCTTCCTCTCCATGTCGCCACGGCTGTGTCAGGCCACCCTCAGAATGACCCCTCTTCCAGAGGCTCTCGATGACGCGGGCACAGCTCACGGATCCCCTCTGCAGTTCGCATCGCACCCTGTCTCTGGCCATAGTTTGCTCCTAAAAGGCATGTTTCTGCTGCTCCCAGCCAGGGCCACCCAAGTCCTCCCCTAGAGCTGGAGAGAGATCCGCCTCAGCCCAGTGACCTCCCAAGACCAGCGCTGCTAAGAGGGAGTGTAGCTGTGGGTTGATCAGAGTTTCACATGCAACTCTTCTCTCTCAAAAAAGCACTTACTTAATCACCCAAATGTATGTCATGCTGTGAATTGTGATGTCACAGCAAGTTAAGCAGGTGCTTATTACTTTTTAATATCAATTATAAAGTGTTGGCTATAGCCCTTAAATCCTGGAGATTTTAGTCAGAAGCCTTGGATTTTTATTTATTTTTTTTAGTTTTTCAGCATAGTACAATGCTTTTAGCTTCCTGCCTCTTTACTTTTAAAAGTACATAGTTTCATACTAAGGATTTAGAAGTCTTAAGGTTTATCATGAAAATAAATTGTTATTACTTAGTGTAATTACAAATGCAATGAATTTTTAAAGTCGTTAAGAAGATAGTATATCATTTTAGTACATAAATCAACACTTAATTTATATCTATCTAGAAAATATGTAGAAACCATGTTGCCTGTAATACCAGTGCTTTATCTCTTAGTCTTAATTTTATATAGTCTGTGCTGTTTTCCTCAAATTCCAATATTTATTTAATTCCTAAACTGTACATCTTTTCGTGCCTCTTACTTCCAGAAGCAAGATGCAGATTCCCGTGGCCTGACCACGTGTACCTCCTTTTGGTCCTGAAAACTGGTTCGCTATACCTGCAGGGCATTCCCGGCACTCACATGATGGTTCTCTTTTAGATGCAAGTGGACTGCAAGGAGCAGGCACCAGTGCGGGCACTTTCCATAGCTGGCTACCCATGTTTGCAGGCAGAGTTGTCTCAAAGTGTCGCAACCTAAATGAGAAATTCGTGACAAGAGAGGATGGAGGCGAGTGAAACTTTTATTAAAAGGAAAGAAAGTGCGTCGGCTTTCAAAAGGCCTGTCTCTGTCAGGCAGCGGAGAGCAGCGATCAACTGGAAAAAAGGGAGCAGGCAGGCGCCTCAGCTAATCTTTCTCCTGGGGGCCCAGGTGGACAAATTGGCAACCCCGTTCACAGCTTTTTTTCTTCTCCCCTTTGTATCATAAGAACTGCTAATCGGATCCATGCTGCTGCAACTGTGGTTAGTTATTAACAGAATAAAAGCAGATTTCTTCAAAAGAACGGGTGGGGGAAACGACTATACAAAATTGCAAGGTTGTTAGAATCTTAAATGCACAGCAGTCGATTTTTTCCCTCATTCTGAATTATACGATGAATACAAGTCTTTCATCTGTCACTATACCCATTTCTTCAGAAAGCAGCCAAATATTAAGCTTCTCAAACAAAGAAGGAATCTTAGAAAGAGGAAAAATATTGAGGAATAAGAATGGGTAAGAGAGGAGAAAAATTAAGTTTTGTTTTTATTAATTTGTCCTGGTGAGAGAAATATAAACTGCCTGCTCTGTTTGGCTTCCCTTGTCCTGCCTCTTACCTCACATCAAAGCAAGGATTAGAGCACATCGAGCCGGTGGCTGCTCTGCATTTCATGTCTGGTGTTTGTGAGCGAAGTGCAGAACCTGCCACTTTCTCATAGGTGACAGAGTGCTACGGATCTGCACTTCCTGGTGAAGGCCAGTAAGCTGTTATGTCCAAACCTACACATACTTTTCCTACCATAAGTGGATTTCCCATACCCCAAAAGTCTGAATTGTATGCCTGAGCTTTATAGCTGTTGAGGAAGGTGTGTTTTGATAAGAATGCCAGCTCTTCAGTGCGGTAGTTGATGTGGGTCGGCGTCTCGTTGACATTCTCGGGGATTCTCCCGCATCCTCAAGATTCCCAGGGTTAGATGTAGCTCCTGCTTTCAACCAAGTCCCACCTGTTTCCTATCCATGCCTTCACACTTAAAGTTACCAAAATTGATGACTTTCCTTAATGTTTTGTCTTTTACTTAATGGTAGTTTTTGCAACAAAGGAAAACAGGTTTTTTTCCCGTCACCAGAGTTATTGGAGTAGTAAAGGACATCTAAAGTAAATGGAGGTGGCCAGCAGAGTGGTCAGCCAGGGTGAGCCGCATTTCCTGTGCCCGCCAGAGTCGTAGGGTGGCACTGAAAGTCACGCCTCCGTAAAATCAAGCAGTCATCCACACTGAAACACTGTATTTTAATGCTGAGAATCTACTGTATCTAAACATTTTATGACTCTGGCTTATCTTTAATCAAAGCTGGTAGTGACCTGAATAGCAAAGTCTAGAAGTCTGTGTTTTGCCTTGTATTCTCTGACTTGGCTTATCATATGCCTTGCAGGCTTCTTAGTTTCTGTGCCTCAAGTTCTCCTTAGAAAGGTGTCTACTCAAAAGGGCTCTAATGGGTATCAGTGATCAGACAATTAAACTGACTTCCAAGTCAGAGTGTGGCAGGTGAGACCTGTATTCTACTTAGAGCTGATTCCCTGAGGATGTGCTAGAATAAAGCAACCCAATGTCTTCATTTTGGATGCAGCAGAATTGATAAATGGATGTGCAGGATGAAAGTTTATTTTAATTGTGATATATCAGTATTTGGTAGCAGTAAATTCTACAGTGTATTTTCTTTTAGTTTATCACTACAGTTAATGATACCACCAAGAATTCTTGAAGAATTAAGGAATAATTCAGTTGCTAATTGCTGAAAACATAGTGGTTTTGTAGCACCATTCCAGGCAAGGAACTTGATCATGGTAGAGTTATTTACAAAATGACTGGAAGTATTCATTTCTTCTCAAATTCAACAACAGTCACACCCAATAATTTAATTTGCATGAATTTGCAAATTTTTCTTTTTTTAAGAGTAAGTCTGTCTTTCCCTAGTCAATTTCAAGAATTTACAAATAGGACCCAAGTACTTGTCACTAAACCTGCTGACCCCCATGTATCCTAAAGGTCCTTATTGAGATGATTGGCCAACAAAATTGTCCAGGTTTCCATGGCTTAACATGTTGTTTCATGTTAATTATAAAAAGCTAATCTTTTGAATTCTAGTGGAAGAATATCACGGAGGGCATTGCCCTATACATAGAAGTACTCTTTTTTTTAAAAAACCTCATTGTTTACATTCAAGGTAACCGTCTCCGATTTATCTGAGAACTTGTAATACAAATAAATACGTATTGTAATACAAATAAATACGTATTCCAGATCTTGATCTCTCTTTATCTCCTTTATTTATTTTTGCCCCAAGTCAGCTAATGTAGGAAAATTGAAAGGATGGACTTTGTTTCTAAAATTGAAATCAGGTAGTCTCTGTCATTGAGACTTCAGATTTTTCATATTGACTAATTATATCAATATTTTATCTCAGATAATTAAATTCTTCTTAGATTACTTGGTTTTTTAGCTATAACAGTGTGTAAAGAAGAAATATTTTTTCTCTGGCCACTACAACTTTTGAAAAATAGAATTTCTGAGTATTTCTATGCCTATTAGTATAGATAATGCAGTATTATCTAAAAGGGGATGGATGGTTTGTTTGCCAGAGGTGGTTGTAGTTCAGATTTACTGTTTTTGTTCCTTTTGAGTTCCTGTAGTTGCTGGCTATAGTAATTTAGAAAGGAATTAGCCCAGGGAGTTTTTAGCCTTATTAAAGGATTAACTTGGGAATCCTATTCATTTTGTGTGTATTCTTGCCATCTCACAACCATGGTAGAGTCTAATTTATGTGCTTGCATCTGAGCAGTTGTTTTATTTGTTTGTTTGTTTTGATCTGATCTAAAAGAGTTGGGAAAAGAAAACTGCAAGTTTAGATAGTTTATCTAAAAATTTACCTGTTAACTGTACTTGCCATTTAAGTCTTAGACCTATGTTTCCATAAAGAGCTAAGGATTTTTTTTTTAATTTTTATTTTTTTTAAAGACAGGGTCTCTAACACAACTTGGGAGTCTCTGAAAAAAAAAAAAAAAGACAGGGTCTCACTGTGTCACCCATGTTAAAATGAAGTGGCACAATCATAGCTCACTACAGCCTCCAATTCCTGGGCTCAAGAGATCCTTCTGCCTCAGCCTCCCAAGTAGCCGGGACTACAGGCACATGCCTGGCTAATCTTTCTTATTATTTGTAAAGATGGATTGTCACTATGTTACCCAGGTTGGTCTTGAACTCATGGCCTCAAGAGATCTTCACACCTTACCCTCCCAAAGTACTGGAATTACAGGTGTGAGCCACCCTGTCTGGCCTGTTTATTGACTTTTAAGGGGAGTGGTGCTGAATGTTTCTTTACTGATGTTATCATTTAGAACAGGGATCAGCAAACTACAGTCTATAGACCAAATGTAGCCTGCCACCTGTTTTTGTAAATAAAGTTTTATGTATGCTATTTTGTTTATGTACTGTCTGTGGCTACTTTTGAACCACCATGGCTGAGTAGTTGCAAAAAATATATATCTACACAGCCTATGGAGCCTGAAATATTTACTGTCTGGCAGTTCACAGAAAAAGTTTGCCTAATCCTCATCTAGAGTGATAAGATGAAACTACATGATTACTGATAACTTATAAAAATCCAATTAACTATTAGCCTAAACTTAGCATTTATTTACTCAACACCTATTTATTGAATGCTTACTCTGTGCCTATCTCAGGAGATATACTATAGCAGGGAACAAAACAGAATTCTGTATCCTCATGGAACTTTACTTTCTAGTCAGATAAAACCATGGACACAAAAGTAAATTGAGGACTGTGAGGAGCGTTAATACCGTGTCTGCCAGTAAAAACCAGAACTTAGCACTTATTAGCACTGACTACCCTGCTGTCTTGCTCTGTGAAATATATTAAGCTATGATACATTCATGTGTCAGTCCATCCATTGTATGTTATATATTATTGATGTGTGCTAATTTTTCAAAAATACACATATTAGCCAGTTTCCTTCCAATTCTATTACATACTGAAATCCCAGTGTTTTGTTACGAAAAATACTTAGTATGGTGATTATTTAGATCCTGTTCTTGAAACCTATTTTTAATTAGAAGAATTTCTTTCAAAATCTAGCCTATTGTAAAATTCTAAAGTAAATATTAGCAAACAAAATCTAGCAGTACATTAAGAAAATAATGTGCCATGACTAAGTGACAT